ACTGCGGGGGCGGGTCCGTCAACATTTTGGGAATGGACATTACTCGCGGCGCTTCCGCCAGCCATCACGGAGATCCACGTAGGTACTCATATCTTGACCTCAATCTAGCCAGGTAGCAGTCGGATCGCGTCTTTAACCGGCGGTGGGGAAGCTGAACTGACTCCATTCCTCTAGTTGGTGTGAAGAAGAGGAAGTAGAGTTAGCTACCTTGGCCAACAATACCCATCTCCAGAGTGGCAAGGCGCGCTGCATATCGTCGAAGTATTTTCCACCAAGACGGATCCACGGAGCAGCATTGCTGAGTACGTGGTTGAGAGCGAAGCCCTGACGAGCTGAGACCAGCCAGCCTCGGCCGGGAATGACGTCCCTGACGGCCGCGGCCTTCGACCATGCAGACCTGAAGACCAGAGCGCCTGAGCCAATTGAAGCATTTTGACTCCTCGGCTCCGGCCATCACCATCTATCTGGCTTCTCCTTAATTCGTCCTACAGCAATAGTCGCATCGTACGCAGCCCTCGATGGCCAACTTTCAAGAGCCTCAACGGCCTGAACACAGATATCACACGAGATACACTTCGTCCTACAATAACGGTCGGTCAATGTCTCATCTTGTCAATACAGTATCCCTCATGCATTAGCCCTCGCGTTGTTCAACCCAGTGGTAGAACAAATCTGATTGCGGTACTACAACTTCTTGTCCCTCGACAGTTCGTATGTCTGTGGGCTCTATACTGCCTGTGGCCTCCCATTACAAGCTTCTGCTACGCGCGCCGCGTCTCTCGATGAAATGTACGCCTTTGCCCAAGGTGTTTTTACTGTTGAACTTCAGGACACCCTGCCAGGTCTACTATTGCGTTGTGATATCGGTTACCAATTTGAGCATCATGTTGTCCTTCCTCGCCAGCGAGGACTCGTTAGGTATGCAAACACAGTTTGATCTCACAGTGCAGTCCATGGCCGGGACATCAGACCTCGGAATCCACCAAGGTGGAATCTACGTCCACTACCGTGGGTATGAATAGCGAACGCTAGCGATACGAATAGCGTTGATGGTGGAGCGCGGTCTTTCACCTTGGCTCCGTTTTCAATGCCACCCCTTTCCCTGCTCCGCTGTCACCCTTGTCTCCTTCTAGAAACACACTCCCCAAGTCCAGCTCACTCGGCCCGGTGGCTTTGAAGTGGCCCCTGCCACCGCGGGAAGACCACTGCTCTTCCGCTTTAATTGCTCCTTTTGAAAATTTTACCCTGTCGTTTTTGCTCAACTCATTTTCAAAGTCTTATTGAAAGCAACCAACACCACACAACAGAAAACCCCCGGGGGCAATACACTAGAATGACTCACACAGAGACAGTAGTCATTCTATCATGTATGCTCTGCTGCCCTAATGGTCCTTCACCTTGATGGCTTCCTGCATTGCTGTCTAACACTTGCAAGCTGCTGAGTTTCCGACACGTCTGTGGTCGACAGGCCCTCAAAGCGGACCGCAGGATATGCACCGCATTGGTCCCGATTGGACGTGGCCCACACACCGTTACTGTGTTAGTGCTCCGACGCCAATAGCTGCGCAGCCTTTTGCTCATGGCTCCTCTCGATCCGCTAGCGGCATCCATCCGCTGCAACAATGGAATGCAGGCTGCTTCTCCCCCAACCCACATCCCATACGCAGCTCATCCAACAATGGCATGGCGACGCATACAAATCAAAACAAAAATAGGACCCTTTGTCGGACCTCGACACCTTGTTGGCCGGACTGCAGGAGAATATCACCGGCCGACTTCGCTCAGCGATAACCATTCTGACCTCTCACCGACACTTCCACGAATCCGGCCGAAGCTTGCAACTCGTCTTGCATGATTATGCCCCGCGTGTTGGTCTTTGGCGGCAGCGTCTCATACGTGGACGCTCTGCTCTGGTGCCGGACAAGGGCTGTGACGTAGTTTGATTACCCACAAAAGATATTGTCGGGCTCGAATTTTGCTGAGGCAACCGACTCACCTCGCTCCATTGTCGCAGCTGCCGTGGCTCTATAATGCCCTTGGGGGGAATAAGACAGAACAGCGAGGAAAGCTCAAGGTGTCTGTGATTGGGGCGCTGACCTGATGACAATCTTGGACAATATCACGCCTCACTGGTAGACACAACTTTGAACCTGTGAAGTGTCGAGTCCTTATCTCAGGGCGACGCGGAAGGTCTGTTTACGCTGTCGTGGACTTTGACGCCTTGGCAGGGTTTCATGAGGCGACGCGGTATGTTGCGGAAAGCATGTGAATGTAGACCTTCGAGGTAGGCTTTCCTGCAAATCCTTCCCGCCAAAACACACGGTCATGAACGGGATATTTCCGGTGACGCTGAGATGTCAGTTGTGGAAGGCAGCCCTGGCAGCATTGAGGCTGTCCGTCGCAGGGCCTCCACCGCCTCCGTCTCCACAGGCGTCCGGGAGCGTCAAATCAACGAGTGGTCTCTCTGTCACTCATTTCAAATCCCCATTGCAGGGTCCGTTACCTTCCCAATCAGTCGTTCTCGAATGAGTCGATGCTCGTCGGGGCTGGGAAAGCAGAGCAGGAGCACGCCGTCCACCACGCGTCCAATGGCGGGGCAGGCTCGCAGGAGTGACGCGGTATTCGTATTAGTTAAACGACACCCGTTCAAATCATTACGTCTGCATTGGGTCCCTGAAGGTAGCAGGAGTCCCGTGGCGGCGTCATGTGATAAGACTCAGCGTTGGAAGGCTATCCGCTCCCAACAAGAAATAATGGCTGCGTCCTTCTAGTCTTCATGCCTTCAGGATGCCACACGTCTTCATATCGGAAATACATATCACGTGCTACTTCCACTGGCTACGATAGCACCAAAAGCGCTTTCGTTACGTTGAATGCAAGCGTATGACTGACAGCAAGGTGCAGAGAGAAAGAGCGCAACTGCAATGGCACATGTCAGACATTCTGGCGGATGGATCCCAAAGATCTGGATCGCGAATCCAAAGGACACAGCCACGATCGTGCTAGTCCACTTCAAGAAGCGGTACGTACCTAGCTGCCGCGACCTCAATCTGACCAATGATAGGTAGCAAACACCACCAATAACGGGGTACCCTGTGCTTCGGACTCTTGCCGCCACGTGCCACGTCTTCCAGACGCATTGGGCGAAAATCGAGCCTTCATTTCTCTTTTCATCTTCGCCCCCTTCTGCAACGGGATTCCAACATCTCGTGACTGGGTGGTCATTTTTTCCACTTACAGAATACACGTACTTGCAGCCACCACCATTGCGACAATCATTCTACGTCATAAAGCTCTCGCAGACGCTTCAGTGACTGAACCCCACGATAGCCCCACCCCTCAGACTGGTCTTTGCCACATCCGGAATTCCTAAACCTAAACCACAGCGTCGGTGCCCTATGTGGCTGAGCCTTTGACATCTCAACAACCGACCGCCGTGGAACATGGATTTGCCTTAACTCGACATCGGCTCCATGGTTGCATTTGATGACTAGCCCCGAGATATTCGTATTGGCATCACTTATCACATATTTAATCTGTGACTCATCCAGGCCTGTGCCCCTATGACAAGCACCATGCCCTCGCGTTTCGTGCTTTTCGTCCACTTACCGGTGTCCGTCCGCACGCACCTTCACATCGCCACCCAGAGCCATGATACTGCTTTGTGCCAAAAGCAGTCGTAGCTCACGATGGGTAGTCCTCCAATACGCTTTGTCGTCCACTAACCCAGTTTCGGGCTTCTCATATCATCCGAAGTGGCCGAGGCGGCTGTGCAGGCAGCAGCAGCCGCACGTCCAACGAGATATGCCTGTTTGAACCATGGCAGGCGCTTTGAGGCTGGGTCTGTAGCAGACTTGGAGCTAACTGATACCATTCCAACAAACTATTGGACAGCGCTGGCGTGTTGCAACTCAGACAGGAGCCTATCTATCACATATCAACGATACTATGACTCTTCGCTTCGGAGCAGAGAGCTCATATGCCAGTGCTACTGGCTTGTCGCTACCTGGAGGTTAGACGATTGGCTTGCAAGGCTCAAGCGACTCGCCTCGCTATCTTCTCCTTCAATACCGCGTATGGTGGATGGAACTTCTTCGCCCAATAGAGTCAGAGGGTAGCCTCGCGATGGCATCCACGCCGCGTCAACCCCGATGGGAGCCTTGTTGATCACTGATCTACGCCTGCGAAAGTTCACAAATGATCTTGAGGGATGGCTGAGCGATGAGTTTTCCACTTGCTCGACCAAACACTGATCTTCGTCCCTCGCACTGTGTGTACATGGCTCTGGTCATCTAGGCCGGGTGGGAGTATCGTATAAGGTCATGTGAGTACGCGTCGAGGTCCATCAGCTACCCGGGAAATGAGTGCGCTGAAGACACGTAATGCCTGAGATATGACTCTTCCTGCCTTGCACATCGAGATCTTATGGAGGCCTCAGCCTGAGGTCACAAGGCAGCGCTCTATCTGAGCTTTGCAGTTGTATACTGAGATGGAGCCCCTGCCGCCACAGTCCCTGTCTCTCGGAGATCCTACGGTCGCCAGAAGGGATGACACAACGACGTGCCAGACATTGCAGGTGGGGATGGAACGGTGCATTCGCCGAGCAACGAAACTTCGCCATCGTTCTCGATCGAACACGGAGTTCAATATTCGTGCCCACCGCACAACACTAATGATATCCACTCCCCGCCCCGGGGTATGTGGAACCCTTCCGCCACCATCCGAGTCATGACCTGCGTTTATCCAGAAGAATTCTCATCGTTGCGGGTTTAGCTCAGTTGGGAGAGCGTCAGACTGAAGTCAAACTTCATCAAGTCATCTGAAGGTCGTGTGTTCGATCCACACAAACCGCATCCATCGTCGTCGTATGCGCCATGCCCCCCTGGGCATGGCTGCAGTTTTGCCGTTCTTTCCGCTTCCACTGTCGGAGCCCTAGGATACTCTGCAGAGCGACAAATTTTCCTCACTGGGGGTGTAGCTCATCTCTATCCCAGCAGTCGGGGGTTGTAGCTCATCTGGTAGAGCGCGTGCTTAGCATACCGTAGATAACTGCTCGTATGATCATTGGTACTATCCTCATGCACGGGGTACCGGGTTTGACTCCCAGCTTCTCCACGGTCTCATTCTTGGCCTCCATGTGCAACTCGCAGTCTCATATCGCTGGATTCAAGAGATCCTTCTCCCACTTGTCAACTCTGTAGATGTCCAGTCACAGTTGGAGGACATGAAGGGCGTCGCTGTAACCTCGACATCTCAAATACTAATCTATCCCACCATGGTGTAAATGAACAGTGATCGATGTTAGAAGGAGTGAATAAGTCGTCGATCTTCCCGTTATCTGAGGTCGTGGTCGATTGCGTGGAACGTGTTTAGCCTAAGTACTCAAGCTTACATCCATCTTAGCCCTACTACCTATTACCTGGATAAGGCACAGAAACTCAAGGGTCATCGCGTGGGTTATACGACTTGAGTATATTATCTAGTCTGGCAATTGGTGTAAGTGCTACGGGAAGCTGCGGTACTTTACCCCGGATGAGGGAGGTTGTGACACCACATCCCGAGTCTTAAACTCCCGAAATGTCGGAGGTAGGAGCAATCTCACAAGCATTACATGCTTCCTGAATTTCTCACATTTTGAGCTTGAAGCTACGTGTGTTCCAGATCACCAGGATGCATACACAGATTCTCGTAGCTCTTCTGCTAGGCACACAGCTGCCATCAGCCTCAGGACTTAAGCATCATCTGTTCGTCAGCAACCTGACCCCTCCGTCTTCCCTCTATGCCGTCGAGTTTGACGACGAGACTCTCGACTTCCGCGTCACGAACAACATCAGTGCAGACGCTCCTCACTCCTGGATCACGTTCAATGTCCGTCCAATCCGTCCCCATCTCTCTCTCCTACGAACCAGAATCTAACCTACGGCAGCACGACAAAACAAACATCTATGGAACCTCCAACAGCGCCCCGCGAGTGGCCAGCTACGCAGTAACCAGCAACTCGACCCTGACACTCACCAAGTCCGTCCCTGCAGCGAAGGCCTGTCACAACCACACATCAGCCTTTGCGGTCGCCAGTCCCGCCGAGCCGTACCACGTCATCACAGGCGCCTGGCCGGGCCCGAATGCATGCGGCATGTCCTTTAACGTAAGCAGCAACGGCACGCTGGATGCAGTTGCGCATTCGTGGAGATATGCCAATAAGTCCGGTGTCCATGGTCTTGCGCTCGGCGGGAGGGACAAGGAAGTGCTGTACTCGGCCGACCTGAACGGCGATGCGATCTGGACGCACCGGGTCGGCGGGGACGGGCGGGCTGAGTACGTGGGCAGGTTTGGGGTCAAGGCTGGGAGCCACCCGAGACATTTGGCCGCTCATCCGGAGGGGAAGAGGTTGTATGCTGTCATGGAGGCGGGGAATCGGGTTGCTGCGTTTCAGGTGGATGAGGAGACGGCGGTGACTGATGCAGAGGAGGCGACTTTCTCTTTGATACCGGATGGTGAGTTTGAGTTGCAGAAATCTGCATAATTGCACCCCTGACTGACCTCTGCCAAGGCTACAACACCAGCCAGTACTGGTCTGCGGAAGTCATGCTCTCTACCGACGCCAGATATCTCTGGGTAACGACCCGGGCGCAGATCAACACCAAGATCCCTGGGTATATATCCGCATTCCTCCTCGACGATGAGGGCATCATTGTGAAGCAGATGTTTAGGGTGCAGACTACCACTGTCGGCGGTATTGCGAACATGATATCGCCGGCTCCGTGGGGGAGTGAGTGGGCTGCACTGGCGGATATCGGGACAGGGTATGTGCAGATATGGAAGATGAAGGATGAGAAAGAGGGACGACATGGGACAGAGTACGCGACTGCTGAAGCGGTGGCTAGGGTTGATATTGTTGATGGGGGATGCTGTGCTGTTGCTATCTGGTATGATTGACGTCTACATTGAGATAGTAGGATCTTATGAAAATTTCGAGTGACAACTTGATCCGGTACTGGCGGCGACAAGACTGCAACAAGACCTACGGTTTGCCCCTCTGTTTTGCAAAGTTGGTATGACCTGCGGCCGTCTCGCTGTCCCCAACTTCTTTCTGCAGCACGCGAGCCAGTCAACCTTCATGACATGACTGCGATAAAGTCATATACAACGGGGGAGCAGATCCTCCAAACAAGCCATAAAAAAAATCCTAGTGACTATATCTTAGCCATATTAGAATCGAAAACTGACACTTTAATACGGACCACTGATTCTAGGTGGCGTACAGTATGCAAGCATCATGATTAAGGCTTCACTCGTAAAAGTCATATCACGAGTGCAATGCAATGAGCTTATCGAGCCAAGTTGTGTCCATTTCTACGAGCTACTTCTCCTCTTTTCCAGAGTATCCAGCATGTCCAATAAATAAGGTAGGAATTCCTTAGTCTCGACCTCGAAACCCTGGTGGTGCCCCGGCACCACCGAGTGCGGGCAGCCCAAGATCTTTGCCTGCTCCTCTGTCGCCCTAGCATAGAAGGCATCTTTACACCGAACGGCCCTCATCACACCGATGCTGGTCTTGTTCTCCACCAGCCGCCACAGGTTGGGCACATAGCCCAGGAGAATCGGGAACTCGTTGTCCCAGAAGTTCCGAGGGTTCTCCGGCTCGGGCGGCACCGTCTTGGGGATCCCCTCGTCATCGTACCCTATCAGCTTGGCGCCGAACTCGCTGGCCGCTGCCTCCAGTCCGCGGGTGTCGTAGACCTCCATGAGGTGTAGGAACCACTCGAACAAGGTAGAGGCATCTGGGAGGAGGTTTATGATTGGTGCCTCGTGAGATATCAAGTGGTCGACCATTTCGGGGAAGTCGTGGGCGAATTGGAAGGCGAAGATACCTCCACTGCTGCTGCCGAAGATGATAGACTTCTGGAAGCCCAGAGCTTTGATGACAGCGGCGATGTCCCGGGCTTGTTGCGGAGGACTGAGTTTCTTGTTGACCTTGACTTGGCTTGCTGACATCTGGCGCCGGTCGAAGGTGACGCAGGTGAACTTGACGGACAGGGCGGCGATTATGGGATAGAACTGCCGCCCATGGCCGTTGCCGCCGGGAATGAAGGTGATAAGCGGTCCCTTGCCTCGGTACCAGTAATGCAAGTCACAGCCTTCGTTGTGAACAATTGCTTCAGTGAGATTGAATTCCATGGTGGGCAGTCGCTCGACAATTCAAGCTGTGGTGAAATTCGCACGCGATATCTTCCAAATGTCCCTGGTGCGCCTCTGTCACTGCTGTCCCGGTGGCTGTAGATCTACCTGGCTGATGCTTTTATGCTTCTTATAATGGCAATAATAGTCTGCACGTTGTATGTCTCGTAATCCGAACTCTTTGTTCACATTCTGTCACTGTAAGGATGAAGATGAATGACCAGAAACGCGCGTCGAGGTCACTCATCTCTTCCCCGCATTGGGCCAATGACGCAGGATCGCACATTCGCAGTTTGCAAAACCCGGACCAACAGCCAGACACTATTAGGCCGGCCAAAGGCTACCTTACTATTCAGGGCCGCCTAGATTCTTCTGGCTTGGGACGTCTCTCGCCAAATAGTCCGCCCGACTTGCCGTGTATCGGGGTTAGGTCTGCCGAAAATGGCAGCCTAGACTGTTGGCCGCAGCGTAAGCTGGACATTGGGCCGAAGGAATCCCTCCGAGACTGTGGGGGACAAACATAAAACTACGGAGCTCAATGGTCCGTAGAATGGCTGCCTACGCCTGGTAGGTGAAGAGGCATCGAGTCTGTTAGTTGTCGTGGCTGTTACATGCACGTATTTCACTGGTAAAATGGCTGTCGTCTCTTTCATCCTCAAAGTATGACTTCACGATCTTGCGCAAAAAAGTAATGCTACAAGCCGTCGTCTACACTCTTTGATGTGCCATCATCCCACATGCACTGTTGTATGATAATCAGCCAGAGTTTTCATCGTCTTATGCGAGCTTTCCTGTTTTGATATCAGGCAATGGGGTATGCGACGAAGATGAGCTAGAGACATGAGAGTCTTGAGGAGATTGAGGAGCGAAGTCCACCACCTGTCCAGCGGTACTTGATAATCCAAAGAGCGGCTGTCACGTTCAAAGTACACAAGAACTCAATATGCAGTTTTATTTCATGAGGCAACCTTGTGAAATAGTAGGCAAGTCGGAAGTGTAGTAGCTCCGACGGTGTTATGCCAATAACCCTATCTCAGGCAGGTGTGAGAATGTCACGGCTCGAGAGAATAGTATAGCATGGTCTGAGAGCCACCAGCCAGAGATACACTTCTCCCGAGTTTAGTTTACTTAGGGTTGACATGCTGACTGGTCCTGCCTAACCAGGCCTATGCAAGGTATGCTCTAAAGAGCGAGTATGTGGGCACCATCAGCCGAGCCTGAGTAACTGCCTTGTGTAGGTATTATATGATGTCCGGTTCTGTGGAATTCTTTCTGTCCCACAAATGGCCAACATTTCGCCAACTACGGTCGACAAACACTGGCACATTTCGGCAACAAGCTTCATGGACTATTCCAGTGACGGTGATCTTGGCTGCTCCGAAAGTCAACACGGCATTATGAAGACACGGCTGAAGCATGGTGAGTGTGTTTTTAGAGCAGTACCGACAGCGAGAGCTTGAGTGCGCAGATTGCAAAGGGGTCGTGAATGTCTCCTGGGAATGTGATCAAGATCGCGGATGTGCTACAGCACACCAAGAGATCAGTCGGCGCTGCTCACAAGGGAACGATGCGGATGTTGCTTTAGATACAAAGTGGAGCTCGTCTAAATTACACCTCATGGCAACGAGTTTTCCAAGGATAGTTCAAATAGAGCCAATTGTGGTGTAGGAAATTCGAATATCATCATGTTATCTGTAGGTATTGTGAGAGGTGATAAAAAACCACTCTATCACATTTGACAACTTATAATCGGTAATGACTAGGCAAAATGGGTATATCAACGTGATGATACAACACAAGTCAGACAACAACAACCACATCAGAGTTCAAGACATAGGCGGCTCCTCACAATGCATCCTCCCATCTACTTCCAAACACTCGAGCTTTCGGCGCCCGCCTTCTTCCCCTCCTGGTACGTCTCACTGAGAGCATTATAC